AAAATAACACTTAGCTCCTGGCCCTGTGTCCTTCTGAGTTATTCTAGTTCCTTTGTGACCTGATGTTAAGAGGTTCTGAACATCTGCATTTCCATTCAATGCAGTGGGAGATGTGGATGATCAGCACCTCTAAAATTTAGGCCATTACCATAAAGATACTTATGGTGCATCTCTCTGGATTACTTGCCTTTTAAGCACTAAAACTGTGAATTATGTCACTTAGCCTGCAGCCCTCACATGAGTAACTTTTGTGCAGAGATAAAATAAAGGTTTTACCTCTATGGTTCTTTGAGGTTTTCTCACGTTTGTGGGAATTGCAGGATGATTTGGCCTTAAAACGTCATTCGTCCTCCTCAATATCTGATGAAGTACCTAGCATCTGAGGCAACTTTGCAAATAAATATACTTTGAGGGGAGATCCCTTGGGAAAACCTACCCTATTTTCTTCTCCTCTCACTCTCAGAAGTTCTCATTGACCTTCTCAGAGTGCTACTTTTATACTCTCAATTCTCAAGGTCCTGCTTTGAGTCCTCCACTATGGGATAAAGAGGATTGGACATGTGATTAGAAAGGGGCCATCAGTGCTTCTCTTTAACTGGTCAGAGTGATTGTTGTGTGTGATTGCTGCATCCACAGCAGGAATGAGAAACCAGTATTCTTCCTTTAATCAAGAATTTCTTCACATTGAGTATCAGAGGGGTAGCCGTGTTAGCCTGAATCTGTAAAAAGCAACAGAGGCTCCTGTGGCACCTTTAAGACTAAACAGAAGTATTGGAGCATAAGCTTTTGTGGGGGAATGCCCACTTCATCAGACGCCTGATGCGTCTGATGAAGTGGGCATTCACCCACGAAAGCTTATGCTCCCAATACTTCTGTTTAGTCTTAAAGGTGCCACAGGACCCTCTGTTGCTTTTCACATTGAGTGTCAGCCTTGACAACTATTCACACTTACGAGTTTGCTGTTGTCACAGTCTGCATATATTTGCAGTTTCAGATGTATTGAAGTTGGTAGGATCATGCACTGAACCAAAAAGGAGGATATATTCTTCTTTTAGTTTAATTTCCACAAATCTTTTAAGTTTACGGTCCAGCCCATCACTGATTCCCATTGTATGAATATTTTCAGCTTATATTCTCATGGCCTTTTCTTGTATGTTTCTGATTTGCTTCTTGGTGTATTAGCATCCTCAATCCTTTGCATCGTTTGTCTTTGACGTTGGTAAAGCCCCCATAGAGCTAATCTCCTGGAATGTTACTATTACCAATTCCAAAGCATTCCTGGGACTGGAGAAGGGGTCCTGACCTACTACGTTTGGTCAGTTAGACTGTTGAAAGCATATGATGAGAAACTTTGCTTGATTTTGATATAGTTTAAGTGAGGCAGCAGTAGCATTTGAACTTTACTTTCTTGTGATAATTTCTGATTCTTATGCCTCATTTCTTGTATTGACTTAAAATCTCTCTTTGTAGTTAATAAACTTGTTGTATTGTTTTTATTTAATCCTGTGTTCTGATGCAAAGGAAAGATGGGAAGAATAATAAGAGGACAATATGGCTCCATGAGGACCTCTTTAATAACCTGTCAATCAAAAAGGAATCCTACAAAGAGTGGAAACATGGACAAATTACAAAAGAATAGCGCAAGCACGTAGGGACAAAATCAGAAAGGCTAAGGCACAAAATGTACAAAGGACATAAAAGGCAATAACAAGCGGTCCTAAAAATACATTAGGAGAAGAGAAAGATGAAGGAAAGTGTAGGAAAGTTGTGAAAAATAGCTAGGAACTGGACAGCATGAAGAAGGCTGCAGTGTTTAATGCCTGTTTTGCTTCAGTTTTTTCTAAAAAGGTAAACTGTGACCAGATGCTTAACACAATTAATATTAACAAGGGGGAAGGAACACAAGCCAAAATAGGGGGAAGAACAAGCTAAAGAATATTTAGGTATGTAAGATGTATTCAAGTCAGCAGGCCCTGATGAAATTCACCCTCTGGTACTTAAGGAACTAGGCTGAAGGCATCTTGGAACCATTAGTGATTAGCTTTAAGAAGTCATGGAAGTTGGGTGAGGTCCCAGAGGGCTGCAGAAGGGCAAACATAGCACTTATCTTTACAAAGGGGAACAAAGAGGACCCAGGGAATTATAGACCTAATTTCAATATCAGGAAAGATACTGGAACAAATTATAAAACAATCAATTTGTAAGCACCTAGAGGATAACAGGATTATAAACATAGCCAACATAGATTTGTCAAGAACAAATCATGCCTAACCGACCTAATATTCTTCTTTGACAGGGTTACTGGACTAGTGGATAGGCCGGAAGCAGTAAACGAGATAGATCTTGATTTTAGTAGGGCTTTTGACACAGTCCCACATGACATTCTCATAAACAAGTTAGGGAAATATGATTTAAATAAAATAATTAAACTAGTTGAATGATAACTAGTCTTTGAATAGAGTCTATGGTCCACTGTCAAAGTGGGGAGACTTATCTAGTGGGGTCATGCAGAGGTCTGACCTAGGTCCAGCACTATTCAACATTTTCATTAAATGACTTGGACAATGGAGTGAAGGTTATACTTATAAAATTTGCAGATGACACCAAGCTGGGAGGGGTTGCAAGCACTTTGGAAGACAGGATTAGAATTCAAAATGACCTTGAGAAATTGGTCTGAAATCAACAAGATGAAATACAATAAAGACAAGTGCAAAGTATTACATTTAGAATAAATAAAAATGCACAGTTACAAAATGGGAAATCGCTGGCTAGGTGGTGGCGCTACTGAAAAGGATATGGGGGTGATAGTGGATCACAAATTGAATGAGTCGTCAATGTGATGCAGTTGCAAAAAAGGCTAATATTCTGGGATATATTAACAGGAGTGTCATATGTAAGACACCCAGTTATGTCTGTGTGTGTTGCAGCCAGCCACACCTTGGCTCTTACCAGCCTTAGTTATACTGCAGGGTGATCCCCAGACACCCCCAGTCATAGACTTTTTTTTTTGCCTGGAAATGTATGTCCTGTACAGCCCAGCCCCCTCCTGCACAATAGAAGTATATGTATAGTCTATTATTGCTTTAATAGAAATAATATGCACTTAACTTGCCATCCCAAATGGCATTTAAGATAGTTTGCTGTTGCGCCTTCAATACTGTCTCTTTGAGAAACTTCTGCTTCACACCACTCAAGTAAACTCCTTTAGCCCTTAGATTTTCTTCCCACGGGACCTTACCTACCAGTTCTCTTAGTTTTGTTAAAATCATTTTGGTGTTCCTCTTTTCTCAGAGTTTTCTTTTATAACAACCTTTGGGTACCATCGTGGTCGTCTTTATGGCCCGTACCATGAGCTTAGATTCCTATTTCCTTTCCATTCACTAGCTTTATTTTCAGCTGTCTTTCCTAATGTCATATGCCTCTACTACCATTTGGAGTCACTAAACACATTGAAATGTATTTAAACATAGAAGTACCCCATGCTTTTCCACAGCTTAGTGTTGCATTTAAGTAAAGTACAATAGACATGGTAGGCCCCATTGTGCCTGATGAGCATGGAGCTGGGGCCAGTACAGAACCACGTTACCACAGAGAGAGCTCCAGGAGTGATTGTGCCTCAGGAAATGCAATCCCTCCTGGACCTTCCAGACAGGAAGGGAAGTGCTCCATAATCCGTCCTCTGCACCCAGCCAGTTTCGCAGACCTTTTTGTGGCATGGAAGGGGGCAAAACTATGACTTTGGCTTCTCCCTGCCTTTGCCTCCCTTCCCCCCTACTCGAAGGAGTACAGGGACTGCAGTTGTGTCCAGCACCTGCACTCCTCAGTGCAGTGTCTGAAAAAGTCTCATTGCATTCCTGAACTATGCCCCAGCATGACTTGCCCTTGTATCATTTTCTGGAGAGAGTCCCTAGATAGCCTGATACAATGCTGCCTGCTATCTCGGGAAAGCAAAATTAAGTAGTTATTAATCACTTTTTAAATTAGCTTGTATTTTTTATCCTGTGTGATTTGTATAACTGTTTTTATCGTCTAGAAAAACCGGAATGCCCAGTATATCCAACGGAACTAGTGTTTGCTTTGGACATATCCCAGGATGTCACATCCCAGTTATTTGAAAGAATGAGAGAGATTGTAATATCAGTAGTGAATGCCACCAAAATTAGAGACAGCAACTGCCCAGTGGGAGCTAGAGTCGCTGTTGTGTCCTACAATTCCAACACTCATTATCTGATCCGCTTCTCCGAGTTCTACAACAAGAATCAGCTCCTCAACAAACTTAATAATCTGGCTTATGAGAGATCCTCAAGCGAACGGGATATTGCGAGAGCGATGGGATTCGTTGCCAGGAATGTTTTCAAGCGAACTCGCCAAGGTCCTAATGTGAGAAAAGTAGCAGTGTTTTTCAGCAATGGGCCGTCTGCAGATGAGTTTTCTATTAACACAGCAGTTCTGGAGTACACTGCATTTGATATTGTTCCAGTAGTTATCGCTTTTAATGACGTTCCCCGCCTCAGTCGTGCTTTTGCGGTAAGACATCCACTAACGTTTTCTTTTTGATGTTCAGTAACAAGACTTTGTATTTCACAGCCTTCAAAACACAGTGGGCCACATTCATCCTTTGGTGTAACTCCATTATCTTCAGTGGAGTTACACCCAAGACAGATCTGGCCCATTGTATTGGTTATTTGTGATTATATCTGGGGTCAGATCCTGCAACACTTACATGAATTGTCCTTATTAATGCTAGTGATTCCATTCAAGTCAGTAGAACTACTTTTATAAGGATTATGCATCTGATGAACATTGTAGGACTTGGTGCTTAATCAGAGTTTTTAATACATTCAAGAAAACCCGGCCTGATTCTCCACTGCCTTACACCTTAGATTGTCTGTCATTTACCCCTGTGGAAAGGTGAGTGCAGACTAGCAGTAAAACAGTACCAAACCAGAACAGTGGTGTTTTCCACTCACTCTGCCTGGGGGGTAAATGACTACACCAGGGGCAAGGCAGTGGAGAATCAAACCCAATGTGCTTGAAAACTGTAGCGTTCACTACCAAAGCAATGTGTTTGTGGGACTATTAGCATTTGTGACAAGGAAATCTAAAGATAACAGGGTTGCATAGTTGTAGCTGAGGAAATAATTCAGCCTGCAGAACCGTTATTAGTATTGATGGTGTGTGAAATGGGAACAACCCAAGTTGACTGTCAATAGCTAAGCTGAGTTGGTGAGGAGCAAGACAAAAAAAGTATTTTCTTGCAAACTGTGCAGATTTGGTATGGAAATCACGGCGGCCCACTAAATATAGAGACCCACACTTCAGTCATTGTTTTGGGGTAGCAGAGCAATTTCTGAGCTGGATTTAGCAACAGGAACAAATCAAAGAGCAGATCTGTGCAATGTGGCTAAGTTGCATAGCTGTAGGAACAGTATGTTTGGATTTCTATATATATATTTTTCTTATTTTAACAGTCAGTGCAACTTTAATGTTTCTCTAACACAGTTTGGCACATCTAATGTTACATACAGTTCCTGTTCAGCTAACTTGTTCTGGGATGACCTTTCCAGTTACCACAGTACGATTATAGGATAACACTGTCTTGGGCCAAATGCTGATCACATGAGCAAGATGAGCAGGACTCGAACCCTTACAGCACTCATTACTCAGTGTCTAAAAGTGTGTTCTGTGCATAGTTGTGCTGCAGTTACGTTCTCCGAAGAGATTGTTCTTTTGCAGCATTTTTTGCTGGAAAGGAGAAAAATCAGTTGGAATTTTACAGCTTCAACATTCTGTTTTTTTGATGATGTTGTTGTAAAAATTACTTTACAATACAGCATGTTGTCATGGATTTCCTTGGGAACTCTAATCTCTTTCAAGGAGAAAGACTAGAAGCTAAATAAAGATCTAGTTGAAGACACTATTAAGAGAAATCAGTTTAACAAAGGGATGTGGAGTAGGACAGCCCCCACTCAGGGAGCCCTTCTGCAGCAGGGTGCTGCAGCTACCTCAGTTTCTCCTTGGACTCCATTTGTGCATAGGAACATTCTCTCTCAGCAGCAAATTCAAACCCTTTATATTAATAAAAGGGTCACAGTCCACAGATCCCTCATAGTAAAACAGTTCTTCTCAAACCCCCAAAGTTATACAAGGTTACAACGCAGCAGCTCCTCAATCCCATGCAAAGGTCACCGTTCCCCAGTCACCCAGCCAAGAGTCACTAACCACTCTGTGCCAGTTCCTTTAGCCCCTGTTCCAGGGCCCCACTCTCCAGGGCATCTACCAGAGTGTTCCAAGACCCGCAACTCTTTTCCCATAGCCCCAAGGCAGGTCTCCTGGGACAGAACTCTCCAGTGTTCCACTGAGCCAGGCTTCCCTTCTGAGAGTCCTACCCCTGCTCAGGGAACGTCCCTCCAGGACAACCCCCTTGTTTTGGGCTCTGCTTCCTGCAGCCCTCCACTTAGGCTTGCTGCAAGGGGCTTCCCCTAGTGTTCTCCTCACACAGGCCTCTCTGCCTGTGACCTCTACCCCTGGGATCCACCCTCCAGCATCAACCCTTCTTGCTTTGGGCTCAGCTTCTCCCAACCAGCAGGTTTTCCCCCTTCTTCACAGGGGCTTCTGCATGAGCTCTCCTTTAGCGCCACAGGATTCCCCAGCTCTGCCCCTTTTCCCCTCTCCCTTTACATAATAACTCCTAGCTTGTGTTACATTACATCAGTGGAAAGAGAACCATTTCAGAATAGAATAAGATGCCTGGTGTCACTGATTCCCAGTTTCAGCATGCAGTCCTTGACCCCCTCCATTGAAGTCAATGGGAATTCTGTTCAAGAAGACACTGAAGGACAGGGCCCATCACTTTGTAAGGAGTAGCTAGTGTTTGGAAACACTCAATGTAGCATTTTTGTTTTGAGAATTATTCTCAATCCGTACTTCTGCTTGGAAAAACTAGAGTATGCAGTGCCTTGTTTTTGGACACGCATTTAAAGTCTCACCGGTTTTCTACTGAACTAACTGTGTGTCAAATGAAATGCTCCAAATCACACAAGCTGGCTGACTCTGAGATTTGGAACACTCCAGCCCCTAATAGAGGGCAAAACTTCAGTGTGGAGGTGCCAAGTCAGAGCCCAGCGCAAAGACAGCCGGAACCCAAGTTCATCGCTGAAGGGTAGTTGGGAAATTGGAGGTTTCTCTGGAGGTTTTCAGGGTCACTGAGGTTTGTCACGCTGGAGAATGTACAAAATTGCTGTTGGTTGTGGGTGGCTTAGGGGTCGAATGTCTGACACTTGGGAATGAATGTAATTTTCTCTGAATTCCTGACGTGAACACAATTGTACAGTATTCAAAGAAACTGTTTTAAGGTAAAACTCACCACTTGCCTTCTGCACTAAATCCTTTTATTATTGTTCTGTCTAGATGGACGATACTGGATTCTTCCAGATATTAAATATTAATCAAGAGGATGACTATGAGCCATTCTTAGAAACATTTCGGCGCTGCACTCTTTGTTATGGTAAGATCCATCTGTATTAGAGAAAAAAACACTATTTAGTGCTGCCTGGCAAAAAGCATGAGAGACTGGCAAAAGCATTTAGACAGACATTTGTGTTTCAAATAACCACAGCTGAATTTTCTGGCTTTATTTCTTCTTCACAAGTTAATCCCTAAAAGGAGGGAACTTTCCAATGAGTAGCATGTTGATCATGATTTACAACCAACTGCTTATCTCCACTATCTGTGCTGCCAAGTTTTTCTTAGGAGGAAATGTACTCGAATGCATAAAAATGAGGGCTGTCGATTAATTGCAGTTAACTCACGTAATTAACTCAAAAAAATTAATCGCGATTAATCACAACAATAGAATACCAATTGAAATTAATTAAATATTTTGGATGTTTTTCTGCATTTTAAAATATTTGATTTCAATTTACAATACAGAAGACGGTGTATAGTGCTCACTTTATATTATTATTACAAATATTTGCACTGTAAAAATGATAAAAGAAATAGTATTTCTCAATTCACCTCATACAAGTACTATAGTGCAATCTTTATCGCAAAAGTACAACTTACAAATGTAGGTGTGTGTTTTTTTGTTTGTTTGTTTTTGTTTTTTGTTACATAACTGCACTCAAAAACAAAACCATGTAAAAGGAGAGAATGCTTCCCTCTTATTTACAATGTCACCTGGAAGTGAGAACAGATGTTCGCATGTCACTGTTGTAGCTGGCATTGCAAGGTATTCACGTGCCCGATATGCTAAACATTCGTATGCACCTTCATGCTTTGGCCACCATTCCAGAAGACATGCTTCCATACTGATAATATACCATACCATGCTGATGATGGGTTCTGCTCGATAACAATCCAAAGCAGTGCCGGCCAACGCATGTTCATTTTCATGATCTGAGGCAGATGCCACCAGCAGAAGGTTGATTTTCTTTTTTGGTGGTTCGAGTTCTGTAGTTTCCGCAACGAAGTGTTGCTCTTTTAAGACATCTGAAAACATGCTCCATACCTTGTTCCTCTCAGATTTTGGAAGGCACTTCAGATTCTTAAACCTTGGGTCGAGTGCTGTAGCTATTGTCTATCTAAATACCTGCAGGTTTTCGGACCATAATGTACGTACATGAAATAAGCTGGGGTACCCTTAGGGGGTGAAAGGGAAGACTTAGACTGTCCCCCACCCATTTTCCAATCACACACTCAAAAAGGGGAAGGATGCCCTGTCCGCGCTAGCGGCTCATAAACTAAGGATCTCTCCCTACAGGGTATTCACACAGGAGAGACTAACGAGGATATCCATGACCTCCTACACCTCCCTTCAGCAAAGAGCGTCGGCTAATCTCAGAGAGAAAGCGCCGCTTACTCTGTTGCATCCAGTGAGATGGTCAGACTGTCAGTGGCTCACACGGAGAGGAAAAGGGGAGGGAAGATGGGTTCACACACTCCTAGACCCAGGTAGCCTCCTCGCCGGACGATGCCAGGCCAAGTCAACCTACGTGGGTCGGATCCCCTAAAAGATCCTCTAGTTACCGGGCTTGCGTTAGAGTAGTTCTGGTCACGAGCCAAAAGACTTCGCAGAGTACTCTGGGCGTCTTCCGGTAACACTCAATTCACACTGTGCACACACACATACAGACCACACACACACCAAGGCCTTATACCAGGTACTATTCCCAAGTACCTCGATGCATCACTTGAGGCGGTAAAAACCCCTCTTGAGGCAGTAACAACCCCTCAACACAGGTGCAAACCCTATGCACCTAGCATATGCTTACAGGGGGCGGCAAACAATTCCCCTATTATGCCGCTCAGCATCTGACCTTGCTGCACAGTCAATAAGTTCGGATGGCGTGAGCCCAGCAGGGGCAGACGGCCCCACGGACAGTCCTCCTCCGACACCCCAATAGAGATTTCAAAAGTGCTCTGCCCCCTTTGGTGGCGCCATGGGGTTCGAGGGGGAACGATCCGTAGCAGCTGCCGTTGCCTCAGTGGGCGTTGCCATCCCGGACGAGCCCCCAAATTGTCGGAGAAAAACTGAGTTCTCACTATTTTGTTT